AGCATGCTGGTTTAGATAAATAGTACAGTTTTCAGCATGCTGGTTTAGATATATAGTACAGTTTTCAGCATGCTGGTTTAGAAAAATATTTGTATATTTATATGTTAGCTATAGCTGGCAAAACGGCTAGACCAAATCGGATGAAATTTTTGGGGTAGCATTTGAAATTATTTTTTCCAAAATTAATTTCTTAAAATTTTTTAATTTCTTTGTCAATGCCGGGAACTTTAGCTAGTAAACTTTAAATGTTAAAATTCTGAGTTTTAATTTGTTTCAGTTCAGCTTGATAACGGACAATTTCAAGAACATAGTCAAGAATATATCAGGTATTATCTGTTTTCTGTTAATGGGTAAACGTTAACGTCGTTTACGATCGAGTGACTCTTTTCCTGTAAATGGGATGAATTCTCTTTTTTTGCCAAAAAAAGGAGGAACACTTTTTTCTGTAAAAAGGGTTTTAACACTTGCCCTGAGTAACCCTAATTATGTACAAACATTGAAATAAGGACAGGTCTGAAAGTTTGACATCAAAATATTATACAGCCTCAACTTTAACTTGCCTCAACGCATTAGACATTAGTTTTAATCTCACCAATTCACTTGTAGCTTTTTCAAGCCTGTTTCTTGCTGAAGTTTTAAAGGGATAAAATACTGTTTGACTTTTGTATGAGTTTCGTCTGCAGTGCAAAGAGTAAACAATTGCGTAACATGTTATTTATGGGAGAGTATACATAAATTGAAACTTATATATTTACTAATAATATATTTTTCAAAATATATTAATTGTGTTATATATGTACTAATAATATATTTTTCTAGATGGAAAGAGTGGAGAGATAAAGTAGCGACAGAACTAAGACAGAGCGTAAGTTTTTAGTATCATTATAATCTCTTTATCTATTATATTTAAAACAATGATTATTTACAGTTTGAAAAAGTTAAGGTGTACATTGGGTTGCAAAGATTTAGTGGTTAGAAAATCAGAGTTTGTGACTCAATTGCTTTGTTTAAAAAATGCTTAAGACGTTATTATAACAAGTTACAGTTTATAATAGGACTTAATCATATATTTTTTTATCATTTTGATTTGTTTACGTCAATTATAAAACTTTCAGCGTTCTTTTCTCTAGTTCTTTTCTCTAGTTCTTTTCTCTAGTTCTTTTCTCTAGTTCTTTTCTCTAGTTCTTTTCTCTAGTTCTTTTCTCTAGTTCTTTTCTCTAGTTCTTTTCTCTAGTTCTTTTCTCTAGTTCTTTTCTCTAGTTCTTTTCTCTAGTTCTTTTCTCTAGTTCTTTTCTCTAGTTCTTTTCTCTAGTTCTTTTCTCTAGTTCTTTTCTCTAGTTCTTTTCTCTAGTTCTTTTCTCTAGTTCTTTTCTCTAGTTCTTTTCTCTAGTTCTTTTCTCTAGTTCTTTTCTCTAGTTCTTTTCTCTAGTTCTTTTCTCTAGTTCTTTTCTCTAGTTCTTTTCTCTAGTTCTTTTCTCTAGTTCTTTTCTCTAGTTCTTTTCTCTAGTTCTTTTCTCTAGTTCTTTTCTCTAGTTCTTTTCTCTAGTTCTTTTCTCTAGTTCTTTTCTCTAGTTCTTTTCTCTAGTTCTTTTCTCTAGTTCTTTTCTCTAGTTCTTTTCTCTAGTTCTTTTCTCTAGTTCTTTTCTCTAGTTCTTTTCTCTAGTTCTTTTCTCTAGTTCTTTTCTCTAGTTCTTTTCTCTAGTTCTTTTCTCTAGTTCTTTTCTCTAGTTCTTTTCTCTAGTTCTTTTCTCTNTATATCTTTCTCTTGATTGTATTTCTCAATAGATATGTTTAGCTGGGTTTAAATAGTCTAGTCCCATAATACTAGGCTTTTAGGGTGCTTTGCCCCCATCTTCTATTTTTAACTTTTAATTGTGGCTTTATCTGTGAGTATCTTCTCTTTGTACAGTATAAAACAAAAATATAAAAGTTTGCGGATTTCAAAGTATTTGTTCGCGCAATTTTAAATTTTTACTAAAATAAAAAACTTTTAAACACAAATTTTTGAAATTTTGATCATTCATAAACCTTCCCTGGGGTCACACACAAAAATTGTGCCGGTTTTAGCCGTTTTGACGCTTATTGGATACATAAAAACAGAAAGACAGACTCGACAGACAAGCAAAGTATATGTATAGATTCTTTGTCCTGGTATAATATATTCTATGTCCTAGTATAGTATATTCTATGCCTAGTATAATATGTTCTATGTCCTAGTATAATATATTCTTTGTCCCAGTATTATATATTCTATGTCCTGGTATAATATATTCTATGTCCTGGTATAATATATTCTACTCTTGTCCTAAACTAACTGTTTTCAAGTTAAATTTACCCTTTAACTTTATTGTTGAAACCGCCTAGCATTCACCAAAGTTTTATCCTACCCCCCCCCCTTTACCCCTCTTTACATTGCCTCCCCCCATCGTACCCTCTCCCCTTCCCTGGATCCCTTACTTAAGAATTCTTTAATTCAACTATTCAACCATTCACCCTATTTAGTAATTATTTCAACATAGTGATATAGGAATATTTTCTTGAAAAAGGGGGTGTTCACTCAATCATAAGTACTCATAACACCCCAAAGTTTGTAATTATTTGTTCACTTGGTGTCTCTGCTCTCAAAATTTCAAGGATTTCACTATAGCGTCCAAAAAACCGTCATTAAAGTACATCTTATGTAAGATAACAACAAGTATTATTAATAATTATTTACGAATGCATCGAATTGAATTCGGCGTTTACAGGTTGTAGTATCTATGGGAAAATTTTTTAATAAGTTATTTAAGATCTGAGTGAGTTGGACGTGATCTTAAATAATTTAAAAAAAATTTCTCCTTCTGAACGAAACAGATTAAAAAAAACTAGTAGCAATCATTATCGAATTTAGTACGATTTTATTTTTCGTGAACATTTCCTTTACAGATATCCTGATGATCAAAAAATCAAAAGTTGTGGCGGAAATTGTTATAAAAATTCGTTGAACTATTTAGGTGTGAAGACCTGGCAGAAATTATCTGGTTGAACAGACAACAAATCCGCCAACTTGAAATGATTCAAGAAGGTCTCAATATTCCCAGGTAACACTTGTGAAAATAAATCATTCAGAGACATGAATGATTTCAATAAAAAAACTAAGATCTACTTCAAAAAACAACTCACGTGATGATACTGTTCCAGGTTGGGTTAGGGAGGGTTAGAAATAGTCAAAATATAAGGGGTGGGGGCGTTAACAGTTCTGTTTATATTCCAGCAAGATAGAAGGGGGGGGGGGTAACAGTTCTGTTTATATTCCAGCAAGATAGAAGGGGTAGGGGGGAGGGGGTAACAGTTCTGTTTATATTCCAGCAAGATAGAAGGGGAGGGGGGTAACAGTTCTGTTTATATTCCAGCAGATATGACTTTTGATCACTAATTTGACACTTATGAAGCATTTAAAGTTGATGCCATTTTTTTTTCATTCGTTTCGTTGCCAAATACGTTTTTTATGAATATACTCCCTGTTTAGTCAAGAGAGTAGTATGAATATACTCCCTGTTTAGTCAAGAGAGTAGTATGAATATACTCCCTGAACTGTCTGATGGTTTAAACCTACTCCTGGATTCTCTAGTCAAAAGCTCATTTGTTATTGAGAAACAACCGCCACAGGTGAATTGAGTTTCACTAAAGGGAATATCCACGTAATTTCAAATACCCCCCCGCATGCCCCTTCGATGCCCGATTCACAACGGTACACTTTGCACTTTTAGTGCAACAAAGGAAAATATATTGCTGTTTTTAATCTTAGCTATCCTAAGGCAGAATTTAACGAATTTGAGCCGCGGTTTAAATTTGACACACGGCTGAAATATGGTTGGGTCAACTTGAAATGGTATTCAATGTTTCAAGATTTAAGCCGGCGCTCAATTCAAGACCGGTTTTTGACGGATGTGAGACGCTGAAATTCATTAAATCCGGACCTTAAATTTTCTTTTTTGTTCAAGTGCATAAATGCACAAGTTGAAAATCATGAGGATCACTTAAATATTTGGTTGACAGTCCCTTTCATAAATATTTTTACTTTTATTCCTCCCCCTCCCTCTCCAAAAAAAAGCTCTAATCAATTGTATATCATTTAAAAATCTGTGTTGATCTTTCGAAGTGTGATAGATCGAGTTTCTAAAAAATGTTTCACATAAATTAATTAGACGTATATAATAGAAAACTGTTATATATAAGTAATGAATTTTACACCTAAAATATAGATACAAGGTTATGTCTAAACACTTAAAAACTTTCTCCAAAAAAAATAATAATTAATTTATCATGGTATATTTGTTATATTTTAGGTTCTGAAAACCAATACAAGGTTTAGTGCTACAATCAGGTGCTTAAAATAGAAAACAAATTTAGAAATAAAATAAAAATAACAGAAAAAGTATAAAACAATAAGTTTTGATTTTGTTTGTGCAATTCTCAGTATTCAAATAATATTCGATGAACAAAAAATGCGGGAAAGATTTTTGCAATTGCATTTTGATCAGTAGATTTAAGCAAATTTAACATTTTTTACTTAAATCATATTTCATATTTTATTCTGCGTTAAAAATTTATTTTTAGTCTAGATTGAATATCAAAAAATAACAATTTCTTGTTTTACAATAGAAAATGTTAAAATAATTTTTTATAGAGAAGTCACGGCCACAGTTTTAAAATTTCATTAAAATTTTTTTTTTTAATTTTAAAAATGGACCATACCATGCTTAAAAAGAGAAGTCAGCTGTATCTGGCGTAATTTTTTTATAATAAAGGTCATTTAAAGTGACGTGAATAATCCCTTTAAAATTTCCAACTAAAGTATTGATTCAGGCTGCTGGTGGGAACTAAACTGAATGTTCATATGTCTCCCCCTGTTGTCACCGCTTCAATTATCTCAGGTTAAATATTTTTTTTCTCTGCATTCATGGCGCTTCGTCACCTTTTATTCTGCGCATGCATTTTTAAAATAAACTTACGGAATTTCCTACATTTGCCGTTTAATTTTAAATAAAAAAAAAACATTTTTAAAAGTAACAAACACATTCTGTCCCGAAAAAAATGTCCAAAATATAGAATATAAAAGTTTTTTTTTCACCTTTTCAGTGCCTTCGAAACCACACTGCCACACAGTATCTGAAATTTTTTCATCTTCCAAAAACTTTTTAATCTGTGAGTTTATTTGTTATTGACTTTCAAAAAATATCTCATATGGAGGTTTAATGCCAACGAACGAAATAATGTGGTCACCATAAAATAGAATTTAATAATTACAAGAAAATGCTAATATTAAAAACGGTGAACTGATAAGAAGCTGCTTACAAGAAATTTTTATAATCTTATTTGTAGAATCTCAAGCCAATTCCTTGCTACGCGCTGGACATACCAAAAAGAACAGGTAAACTAGTTTTTACAAAACCAATAATTTTTTTTAAGTCGTCAAATGTCGATGGCCAAAATAAGTTGTATTCGTTATATTTTGTATAAAATATATTTTATTTAGATATACGATTATTTTAAATCCAAAAAATTTTAAACTTTTTCCAATGAAAATGTTCCATGATTAATATTAATTAAAACAAATATTGATATTATTTGTTATTATTCTATATGTAACCTCTTGTTCCTTTGTCTATATATAATATTGTTTGATTAGATCTGAATACAGTTCGGGGGATATTGTAAACAATAAACAAACCATGGAGTACCATCAGGAACCAAACACACTTTTATACTTAACCAAACACCTTTGTGACACTGTATCAAACACACTTTTATACTTAACCAAACACCTTAGTGACACTGTACCAAACACACTTTTATACTTAGCCAAACACCTTTCTGATACTGTACCAAACACACTTTTATACTTAACCAAACACCTTTCTGATACTGTACCAAACACACTTTTATACTTAACCAAACACCTTTCTGATACTGTACCAAACAAGTCTTATATTGAACATAAACATAAACCTATCACAGTTCTAATATTTCAACAATTTAAGATCTTTATCTTTGCTACACCGTTTTAAAGATCTTTATCTGGGCTACACCGATTCAAATGTGTATCTTGGCTTCGCTGATTCAGAACTTGGCTACACTGATTTAGATCTTTATCTTGACTAAACCATTGGATCTATATTTTGTCTATCTCATCTTAAACTAGACCAAAGCTAGTCTGTTTTTCAGCTAGGCCAACAAAAATTTTATTTTTTCCAAATGTTTGTGTATATTGATCATTGTCAATAATTCCAGCAATGCCATATTTTATCTTTCTGTTCTGTTGAAAGTTTTCTATAAATTTTCCAGATTTTAAACATTTATTTTCGGCTTATTGTGTTTGGTGTTCTCAGAGTTTCGGTCAGGCAACTGGTCAGCTGAGTGTCAGCTTTAGGAACATGTCTCTCAAGAAGATCAAGAGAGCGGAGAAGAAAGGAACAGAGTCTGTTATGGACGAGAAGTTTGCGCTTCTCTTCTGGTCTGAGTTCTCAATTGGGAATGGGGAGTTTCATTACCAGGTAGATACACTGTATTTTGCAAACCAAAACCGGAATTTATTTATAAGTATTTCTAATAGAAAGTATTGCCTAAAGGTGAGTGCTCCTTCCCTTCTTGTATAATATTGTTTTGTATAGGTGTGTGCTCCCTCCCTCCCTGTATAATATTGTTTTGTATAGGTGTGTGCTCCCTCCCTCCTTGTTATAATATTGTCTTGTGTAGGTGTGTGCTCCCTCCCTCCTTGTTATAATATTGTTTTGTATAGGTGTGTGCTCCCTCCCTCCTTGTTATAATATTGTTTTGTATAGGTGTATGCTCCCTCCCTCCCTGTTATAATATTGTTTTGTATAGGTATGTGCTCCCTCCCTGTATAATATTGTTTTGCATAGGTGTGTGCTCCCTCCCTCCTTGTTATAATATTGTTTTGTATAGGTGTGTGCTCCCTCCCTCTCTGTTTAATATTGTTTTATATAGGTGTGTGCTCCCTCCCTCCCTGTCATAAGATCGTTTTATATAGGTGTGTGCTCCCTCCCTCCTTGTTATAATATTGTTTTATATAGGTGTACGTACTCCCTCCCTCCCTAATATATAGTTTTTTCATAGGTGTGTGCTTCTTTAATCTCCCCATTATATATTGATTTGTACATGTGTTTGCTCCCTATCTCTCTAATATATTGTTTTGTTCAAGTTGTGTGCTTCGTCTTTCCCCATTATATACTGACTAGTACATGTGGGTGCGCCATCCCTCCCTGGACCCTGCTATAAGATTGTTTTGTATAGGTATGTGCTCCCTCCCTCCCTGTATAATATTGTTTTGTATACGTGTGTGCTCCCTCCCTCCCTGTATAATATTGTTTTTGAATAGGTATGTGCTCCCTCCCTCCCTGCTATAATATTGTTTTGTATAGGTATGTGCTCCCTCCCTCCCTGTGGTTGTAATTGTCCACGGAAACCAGGAACCTCATGCTTGGGCAACCATACTTTGGGATAATGCATTTGCAGAGTGGGGCAGACAACCTTTCATAGTTCCTGAGAAGGTTCCTTGGCTCCAGGTATAAAATTTAAAGAAAAATATAAGATGAAGACGATCCAATTGTCCGCCTTTTAACCTCGCGTGGCATTTACATTCAACATACGCACACGTTAAGTTAATCGTGTTATGTTTAGGTCGCAAATACTCTAAACATGAAGTTTAAAGCTTCCTGTGGCCGGGGTCTAACTGAAGAAAACCTAAAGTTTCTGGCAGGAAAAGCCTTCAGGTAAACTCTAAGACGAAAATGCGAAATAATCCCTTTTTGAAGATTTAAATTTATACATTTTTGTATTAGAGAAATATTACTTATTTTTTACAATATGTAATCCTTTCTTCTTTTATAGTTTCCGTAACTTGGGGTACAACAGTGACTGCTCAAACCTAATGATAACCTGGTCACAGTTCTGTAAAGAGCCTCTTCCGGACAGGTACATTGTGTACACTGTACAGTACAGCACATTCATGTAAAGGCTCCATTACAGAAGGTAGAATTACAAAAGATAGAATTACAAAAGATAGAATGACAAAAGGTAGAACGATCAAAAGGTAGAACAAACAAAAGATAGAATTACTAAAGGTAGAACGTTCAAAAGGTAGAATTTTCCAAATTAAATTTTTTTTTTAAATGTCAAAAAAAAGTCAAAAAACAATGTTTCTTATTTATTAGGACTAATTTTTATTTTACAAATGTACATGATTTTAATCCATGCCAATAATTGTGGCAAGCTGTTTCATATAGTCTGGTGCAGGGAAATTATTATACATTTCAGTCATGTTTTTAATCCTAGTATGTTTATCTCTCTGTTTTTGTTTGCGAGCGTTCTCAGTGCTGTTTGCACCACACTGGCTGAATCAAGAAGAGTTTTCTTGGACAGGGACTCTTCACGTATGAAGTTGGTGATAATAGTCCAGAGACTGGCATTCGGCTCAGTTGACCTATTCCACTGGTTGATGTAGGCCTCGTTGGAGTTGTTGGTTGTAGGAATATCCTCCCTAACCTCCATCCACTTGTTCCACAACGTAAACTTTAAAAGGGGATTTTTCTTTCTGAAAAATGAAAAAATTCGACCTTTATGAACGTTCTACCTTTTGTAATTCTACCTTTTGAACGTTCTACCTTTTGATTGTTCTACCTTTTGTCTTTCTACCTTTTGTCATTCTACCTTTTGTAATTCTACCTTTTGTACGTGAGCCCATGTAAAAGCCTCTTCTAATAGGTATACATATAGTGTAAACTGTACACTTACAGTACATTTTTGTAAAGAGCCTCCCTGAAGTGCAGAAAAGTACCACACAGTACAATAAATCGAAGTGCAGTACAGTGCAGAACAGTAGCTTAAAAATAAGTACTAACAATTTAGTAAAGATTTGTAAATTGTAAAGAGTTCATGGTTTCAATGTAACAAAATGTGCTATTGGCCTAAATTTTGAGAATTCTATCCAACTCTGAATATTAGATGAGCAAAAACTAAACAAATAGAATTAAATAAACAATCATTTTTCTCAGAACAAAAAGAGTTCAGAATTTGTTATCAACAAATATCAGTAAATGAATTATTTGAAAGCAAAATTTAATATTTTATATTATCTTTTTTATTTCAGAAGTTTTACATTTTGGGAGTGGTTCTACGCAGTAATGAAGCTGACTAAAGAGGATCTACGAGGCATGTGGATGGATGGGTAGGATTACTTTTTTACCAAAAAAAAATGTTATTCAGCACTTATCATATGAAGGACTAATTTCTTGCTTCAATCTATTTTTTTCTAATCTAATCTTCGAAAACTTAAATTTAAACCAGGAGGTTACAATTTTAGGAAAAGGGGTTTCAATTGAAAGAGGTTACAACATGAAGACTTAAGTCAGGAGTTTCCAATTTTAGGTAAAGGAGTTGTAATTAAAAGTAGTTATAAATAGGAGGTTACAATATGAAGATTTAAACCAGGATGTTACAATTTTAGGTAAAGGGGTTTCAATTAAAAGGTTTTTTTTTGTCAAGCGATAGCAATTAAAAGTTTTTAAAAAGTAGGAGGTTAAAACATGAAGACTTAAGTCAGGACTCAGGAGTTTACAATTTTAGGTAAAGGTGAGAGGGGGTTGTACAATATGAAAAGAAGGAGGTGCATATGATGAGGAGGGAGGTGTATTACAGAATGAGAAGGAATATTTAGAGCTCTACTCGGATTTGTTTCAAGACAACAGGCGGAAGACTATCTACAGGTGATTAAATCTGATTAAATCTGATTAAATCTGATTAAATTTGATAAAAAAAACTGATTTTATCTTCGTGAAATCTATTCTGTTTTGTAATCCTATTATTTGCAACTTCTTTGCAATCGTTTTATATGATAATTCAGATTTAAAAGTTCTTGTCATTATTGGAAAATGTGTTTCTCATAATAAGATTCCATAAATTGGTCATAAATCAACAGTATTTTCCAGTTCATATTATACATGTTTTTTGTGATAACAGTTGGGAAGGGGTCAGGGGGGGGGTAAAGAAATTGGATTAATATTGGCGAGTTTTTCTTATCTGTTATTCAACAACTCATTAATTCAGTTAGTTTAACTCTGAAAACATGTCTAACATCTGGTAAGATTTTTTTTTAAACCAGAATATATATATATACCCATTAAACAGGATAAAGGAAATGAGTCTTTGGCACAAACTCAAATTTTCGAATGGCAAAATCTTAGCATCTTTATGGTGTAAACCTTTGATATTTCAAGCTTAGATTGTTTTGTCTAAAAAATTCATAGTTTGAAATAGCTAAGGTTTACGACTTTGGGTTGCAAAGATATAGGGATTAGAAAATCAGAGATTGTGACAAAAATTCCTTTAAGGCGAGTGAACCAGGCACATTTCTCATCCGATTTTCGGATTCTGAGCTAGGAGGGGTCACTGTCGCTTGGATGTCATGTAAGTAAATATTGTAATTTAAAAAATAAAATTGGCTCAAAATAATTGTGGTTTAGTTTGTAAATTAAACAATCTGAGGCCGAATTTAACGAATTTGAGCCGCAACTTAAATTTAAGACGCAGCTCAAATATTGTCGGTTCCACTTTTTCCACGAGTTGCCTAAAAATCTCAAAATTACGTGAAATGGGTTTATGTACAATGTACATTGTGCACTGTACAGTTTCTATGGGTTTATTTATTGAACTGTTAAAAATCGGAACTTGAATATAAAGTCGTCTTCCTATTCCAAAATAATGCAATAATGGTATTTAAAGTCAACTCTAAATTTTCTTTACATAAATATACATTCTGTTTTTCAGTGAATGAGGATACAAACCAAAAAGAAGTTTCCATGCTTCAACCCTACACTAGAAAGGTATATTACTTTATATAAAGAACAAAATTTTATTTATATTTTTAAAGTCCTTTTTTAAATTTTATCAAATCAATTTTAAATGATATCAAAAAATATCTTAATTGTCATTTTAATATATTAACAATTTTCTTTTCTTTTTCGACTTTGTACTTCATATAGCCCCCAAGGACTTTTATCAATCTTCGTTTCCATGACTAACATTTAAATGAATGAATCTAAATGATTTTTTCAAATAGATAATATAAGATTTTATATGATTAAAAACTGAGAAAAGGTAAAAATTAATATTTTCATCAGGATTTGATGATTCGCAGTTTAGCAGATAGAATTCACGACTGTCACCAGATGATAACCCTGTACCCGAACCATCCTAAGGATCAGGCTATAGGCAAATACTACAGTTCACCACCAGAAACGGTATGGAGGGAAGATGGTTGTAATAAGATGGTTTTAGACCATCAGGTTGAAATTATAAGGTTTCAATTAAAAGTTTATATTCCAAGAGGTTGCAATCAAAAGGATTTTTGTCAAGAAAAGTTGTTATAAATAGAAGGTTACAAACATGAAGACCTAAGCCAGGAGGTTACAATTTTAGGAAAAGGGGTTTCAATTAAAAGAGGTTACAACATGAAGACTTAAGTCAGGAGGTTATAATTTTAGGAAAAGGGGTTGCAATTAAAAGTTGTTATAAATAGAAGGTTACAAACATGAAGACCTAAGCCAAGAGGTTACAATTTTAGGAAAAAGGGTTTCAATTAAAAGAGGTTACAACATGAAGACTTAAGTCAGGAGTTTCCAATTTTAGGAAAAGGGGTTTTAATTAAAAGTTGTTATGAATAGAAGGTTACAACACGAAAATTTAAACCAGGAGGTTACAATTTTAGGAAAAGGGGTTTCAATTGAAAGAGGTTACAACATGAAGACTTAAGTCAGGAGTTTCCAATTTTAGGAAAAGGGGTTTTAATTAAAAGTTGTTATGAATAGAAGGTTACAACACGAANAGAAAGGAGAGGGGGGGGGAAGGGGAAGGGCAGTAGTTTAGTAGGGATAAAATGAAAGAACTAAAACAAAGAGCCAATTCAGGAAAGTTTAAAAAAAAACGAACATTTTATCTTTTTCTTGATTCTGAAATTCAGATTTTCATTGGTTTTTTATCTATATGATATTACACACATGAAGCATTAAATGAGATGATGAAAAATATTTCAAATATACTTAAATAGATATTTTAAATTCCTTTATTAGTCTAATATATAAATATCCAGGTACCAAGGAATCCAAGGAATGGATATGTTCCTCATCATTTGGTTAACGTTATACCTGGCAGCATGTAAGTTTTAACATCATTATTGTTATTATTATTTAAGGACACCAGCTACCCGAACACCCCGACCACCTCCTTCTATGATCCCCAGTCACCACCATCAGCCAGGTATAGCACGCACCTCTGACCCTTTGGTAAACGTAAAATTAACCTAAAATTTGACCGCGTCAACCTTGTTGCACCGGCGTTTCCCGCGAAATAAAAAATGGAATTTTAAAAAAAAATTGATTGCACAAAATTTTTTTGTTTGCTATCGTGCTTTATGCTTTATGCTATTTAAAAAAAAATTACGGTGCACGGCTTCAAAGAACACTTAACTTTAAAATATTTGATTTGTAATAAGTCACATTCTAGATTGCATTGTGCATGCATATTTTAGTAGAGAGAAAAATAAGTGTTTTTTTCACTCAAAACCCTACACAAATCAAGATTTTTTGTTTGTCAAGTAGTAGATTTTATTTACCATAATGACTTTTTAAAATACGAACAAACAAAAACAATTATTCGACTGAATAAGTAAATTGTTCAATACAAGACTTTTATGGCGGTTGGCGCCCATCTTCTATTCTTATTGCTAACATTTTCTTTTTGAATACATTATACATTATAAATAACATAACAAAAAAAGTTTGCGGACTTTGAAATATTTTTTCGTATATTCATAATTTTACGACGATCCAATTTTTTTGGAGACACATGTTTTGGTAATATTGAGCAACCGAAACCCTTCTCGGGGTGATGCATTTTTGAAGTGTATTGAATACACACGGACACCCTGACAGACAAGCCAAATATATATATGATGCAAAAACTATACTTATTACTAACACTTCCTTTACTAACACATATACAATTTACAATCTACATATTTGTTTTAAACATTAATATTTTATCTGATATTTTTTCAGAAACACTCCACTTTCTACTAACCCATCCCAACCAGCATTGATGGATACTCAATCGTAAGTCCTAATGTTGGACCAAATTCCCCCCAGCAGGAATAGGGTTAAAAAATCATTTTTGACGATTTTTAAAAGATAGAAATTTACTTGAAAGTTGCTCACGGATTTTAATGCAAAGACATTCAAGAAAACGGATTAGCCTGAAAAATGTACTTGTTAAATAAAGGAGGTTTAAATTTCTATTCTTGTGAATCGTTTTGAAAACGATCGATTTTATAAAAACGATTCGCGACCGTTTTCTATACGATTGTCTCTTTTAAATAACGATCGCTTTAAAAAAAGCGATCGTTTTTGAAAAACAAATTTTATTGACAATTATTTTAACTATCGTAAACGAAGGGTCGTCGTTAACGATCGTTAACGAAGGGTTGTCGTTAACGATCGTTAACAAAACGCCGAAATTTATAAAAACGTTTTTAAAAAAAAATTACATGCAACTTTATTGAATGTCGTCTTACACGATGTTAAGCAGTTGTGTGGGGAGCTAAAACTTCTTGATATTTTCTTAAAAACCACTCAATGATAGGTACAGTTGCCCTTCAGGTCGGTTTCCTCTCTTCGTTAACGATCGTTAACGAAACGACGAATTTTATAAAAACGACCGTTTTTCAAAACGATCGTTGTAAAAACTAACCTTTTAAAAAACGATTTTTTCCCAAAAAATTAAAACTTTAACTTCCCTAGGTACACCCTGTAACAAACCCTTCTGAAATTTCCATTTTCTATTAGATTAAACCTTTCTTCATTAGTATTTCATCAGGGTTTTAGGGTTAATTCCTTCTCTACGATCAAGAAAATATTTCCTTCGTTGAGATTTTTGTTTTTATGTTTGTCGTAGGCCCGTAGCTATGGGGGGGGGGCACACTTTCTGAGACAAAAAAAGAAGAAAATGAAACAATGAAATAAAAGAAAACGAAAAAAGAAAGAAAGAAGGAAAAAAGGGGAGAAAATTGACCTAAAATCTAACTTTTGTTACAACATTATGCAGAAATTAAAGAAAAATTTGGTGCTTTCTAAAATAAATTATTTGGAAATTTTTATTTCTATCCTGTCCTGTGAGATGAAAGGGTTTATATTATTTTTTTTTTGTATCTTGAGAGATATATCCTTTCCCTTCTTTTATTAAATTAATGATTCTATTGAACCATCATACAGCAAAAAGTAAGAAGCGACATGGGGACAACTTTGAATTATAAAAATATGGCCAGGAAAAGGAGAAGCTGATTGTACTCATCCTCAAGATTGGAGGGGAGTTTTTTTCGAATTTTAGTTAAGAGCTTTTTTATCTTTACAGAAATTTACATCATTTACTTTCCCTGTATTTAGAATAAGTATTGGCTATTCTTGATTCAAAAGTTTTCAGTAGTACATTTATTTTATATTTGAAAACAAATCTCTACATCTTATACCTCCAGTTTTTTTTGTTTTGATGCAAATAGCTTCTCAATTATTCAAAAACAATAGAGAGAACGAAAACAGGCAAATGTCTATCTTTATAAACTTTTATGTGGGATAAGTTACAAATCATAGTTTTTTAGTCTTCATTCATTATTGGGTTTTTAGGTCAATTAAATTATTAGCCCGCGGCGCGCCTCTTACTTATCTATCTATGTTACTTTTTACTTATCTGCCCCCCCCCTTTGGAAATTCCTAGCTACGGGCCTGCGGCATGCATGTATGTTTGATTTTTTTTGTATAAAGTTTAAGTGTTCTACGTGTACGATGTATGTTATCTAGTTTGCACTTTAATGCCATGCTTTTACATAATATTTAAATTATTTAGTATTTTTTACAGATTGTTCAATGTTCATCAATTCTAGAAATTTTTATCTCAAAAATTTTCCCTGCTAAAAACTTTTAAATACCAAATTTCGATTGTACCAACAACAAACAAAAAAGACAGTCATGTTTAAGTTTCAAGCGATCAACAATTTTAGAAATATTTTTTCTACACTTTTTTTAAAAAATATTTTTAAAAGATATGTGTTATATGTATAACAAAAGTATTGCTATGCGAAATACGAAAAACTTTATTATTTTTCAGTGCTTTAGAGGAACTTCATGTAAGCAGTGTTGTCTCTCAAGCAGTTCATCAACTCAATCATCAGACTTCGCTTTGCTGATCAATTCGTCATCAGCTGATCAATTCGTCATCTGCTGATCAATTTATCATCTGCTGATCAATTCATCATCTGCTGATCAATTCGTCATCTGCTGATCAATTTATCATCTGCTGATCAATTCTTCATCTGCTGATGAATTTATCATCTGCTGATCAATTCATTATCTGCTGATCAATTCGTCATCTTTTGATCAGTAAGTCAACTCCGGATCAATCATACTCTGGTGATCACTTTAAATCCTGATCGAAGAAAATCGAAGAAAAATCCCAAATCATCTAAAAATCAATAATTCACCCATTTAGAATTGGATAATTTTTATAGTGTTTAAAATTTGACCAGTTTTGGTTTAATTACTTGACACTGAATTAAAATCTCAAAGTTCTGTAGTTTGACAAGGTTAAAGATAAAATTTGGCTACGGCAAACCAATATAATTTCAGATGACGGAAAAAAGGGCAATTTTACTCAAAGAGTGAATTTAGGAAAGCCTAAAAATTATTTAACTAATACTAAATAGCCATTGTCATTAATGTTCATCTTCTAAACTAATGTAAACCCAACGTGGTTCCCGCCAAATTTCCGAAGTAGATGTCGTCATTATCTATACATTCCAAACCAAACCTGCTAGAAGGAAAATGACGGACGTAGCGTGGGGGAAGATGTTGTTCACAAATAGTTGAATGTACTTGCCGTTAGAGGGCTCCGGCTCGTTCGAGGTTATCTTTGTGTTTACTGAATAATGACTGGTGTAATATCTCAAATATGTGATAATAGAAGACGACTTGTTTAAAAATTGTAAAATACATTAAATTGTTACATATAGCACGCCATAACGGCGATGGCAATACATTTTCAATCATGTATAAAGTACACAATTTGAAAGAATATTAACAAAATTAACTTTTTAAAATTTGAACACTTTGAAGAAAAAACAAAACAATATATATTTATGTGCTTTTTGTTTGTAAATGAAAATTCCTTGGTTGTTCCCTAGTATAGTCTAAATATGTACAATGTTAACTCCCCCCCCCCCGTCCCTTTTGACCGCCCCCCACACACCTTTAAATTCTCTATATAAATGTACGTACCAATGAATGTGTGATATTTCAACTCTTGTTAATAAATTTTAATGTTAAAGAAACTGTTTGACATAGTCTGAACTCTAAAGTCAACTTTTTTATTATAAATATGTTGAAATCAACAGGGTGTCCCAATAAACATGCAAGTTAAGAGTCGACTTGAATATTGTCTTTGATTTCCCAAAATTGATTAGTGACATAAAGTGCATCAAAAAAATGCAAAGTCTAAACTTTCCATGGTCCCCCATCTTTAGAAGTATTAAACATTTGAACCGTTTTATTGATTTTCAATAAACTGGAATCTGGACAAATTTTCTTATATCTCCGTCAATTTTGGAGGGAAAACAATGGTAGACCACATTTTGGAAATCCCGAGACTAATGGTTTTCGGTGTTAAATGTTTAACCGGGATACTACACAAACATGCTTTAGAAACAAAGACGATAGTCGTAAATTAAATTATTGGGACACCCTGTATGTTTAAGTTGAGAAATTTTAAAATTCTACGAATGCAAACGGTAAATAATTCAGAGATATTTTCGGGCATGTTTTGGTTTTTTATTGGTTATACCCAATCAGAGATAAGAGAGTTAAAGGGATTGATTGAAACCTATGGATATGCGTTATTTCCCACAGTATGTTCTATTGTGTACAAGTTCTGTACACGACCAATCAGCAAACATTTGTATTCAGGAATATTTAAGAATCCTTTGGTTATGAAACACAAAATCTTCAAAAACAGACTGAATTCATTATGTTTCATGTTAAAAATTGGAGTTGTAAAAATTAACCCCTGAATGAGTATTATGTGCAACAAGTGGCCGTGAGATGGCACTCTAAAAAACCTATTGTAAAAACGTAGCATGTCGCGCCGGGTCAATTAAGGCCTACGTAGCCTATCCTGTGAAAGGAGATAAGCAGTCTGTGCAGTCTGTGTACCCAATAGACACAAAAAAGGAAACACAAAATTTGTAGGTTTTTGATGTACGAAGAAAAAAGGTTTCATTAAAAAGAGGCAAGTTATTTCTTTTTGATTTTTGATACACTGGTAGGCGATTATATCAATACATTGATGACGACTTTCAATTTTTGTATTGATTTAGATCAAGTTGTTATACAGCATGGATACACAAAATCAAGAGAAGCTTTCGATCAAAAAGCTTTACTTTGTTTACTTGTAAACTTGTAATACGAAACATGCTTGTTAACAATCACAACTCTAAATATAAAAGTCATCTTCATTGTATTAATGTATATGTACCGTAGAATTACAGTTAGAACCAAACAACAGTTAAATAATGGTCGCTTTTTTTCTCCGATCACAAGTATAAAGTTAAATGATTTTTATTTTAAAAACGAAACTTCTTCAAAAGTACCCTATATAATTAGTTATTAAAGGATTAGTGGCAAAAATTAAGATTACAAAATTTCTCACTGATCTGCTTACAGCATAAATAAAAATATATGAGAAAGCTATAATATAGATAAAAATTGATTACTAAATGAGGAATATCCCACTCTATCCACAAAGGATGAGACTGTATAGACGACTAAACCCTCTGGAATGACAGTCCCCGAGTTATTTTATGTATTCTGCCTCGTAAAGTAATCTAATGGCTAATATTTGGCAAAGAAACAATCAAGTTTACAGTTCCAGAGGAACGTGCACGTTAGGAATCAGACAGGATGAATTTCGTTTCTGAAGTTTCATAATTTGTGGGTGACCCTGTAGGATTATTTTGAATGAATTGATTATAATCAAAATGTCGTCTTGGTTGGCCAAAGTATGAAATACAAACCACAGTGAATGCACTACTGACTTAAGGGCATGGAGGCTTTTCTGCAATAAAAATTAATTTTATCAATTTTTAAAATATATTTTTTATTTGTCGACAGCTGAATTCAATTCCAGGTACTATTTTTAGTAGTATGGCAATTGTTCTGCTTAACATTGTAATAGGAATTTATTTGTAATTTATTCAAAGTTTTGTTTCTCTCAAAAAGTGAGGCTTTCCTCATCCATTTTCTAAGCTTTAACCAGTCAATTTCTCAGTTTAACACCTTACAAAAAGTAACTCTTTCAGAGTTTTACTTTTTAAGTAAAGATAATATCTAGGGGGTCCAAAGAAGCCAGGAACTTAAATTTTAATCATTACTACTGTCTGGACTACAGAGTCTAAAACTAAAGAACGAAAAGTTTTGACTTCAATTTTAAGTTCATGGTTAAATACCACTTCTGACTTAATTTAAACCTGAACTTTAACCGTGAGGTTAAATATTTAACCCTGTGGTTAAATATTTAACTCGCCGAAATCGACGAGTTAAAATTTAAACAGAGGTTTAAATTATCTTGAAGTCCTGCATTTTCCCTATTTGTCTATTATTCAATCATCATTCAGCTGCAGCTGAGAAAGCGGCATTCAACTTTACGATACATTTAAAAGTGAAAACCTTGTTAAAGAAATTTCACGTTTTAGATAAATTAATTTTTGGATGTAAACCCAAAAAACGGTTGTATGTTTTGTTTTCGGTTACGTAAGAACAGCTGATTAGCGATGGTTATGTAATATTCTCCGTAAATCCTTTTCTCTGATTGGTTCAGATTTTCCCGGGAAATTCAAATTTAAAATTGAGAAAGTTTAATATTTAAGTAGCTATTCATTATTTTACAGAACTTTTAACCTCGAACTTAAAATTCGCGCATTCTTTAGTTTTAGACTCTGGATAGCTACTATATAATTAATTACTTTAGTTATTATAACTAGTAAACGACAAAAAGGTGTAGTGTGACCAAAAGGACCGAATTTGTTTAATAAAAAACTGTTTATTTCTAGTAATTTACATTATAACAGTTACAGATGATAAGAAACATGGTGAGTTACAATATTTGGTGAACATGAAATGGAACAATTGATGAACTACATAATATTAACAGGTAGAAACAAGTGGTAAATTATTTAGTAAGAACACGCGGTGAACTAGTTTGAACACATGATGAACTGGTACAAAGGAACACGCGGTGAACTAGTTTGAACACGTATGATGAACTGGTACAAAGGAACACGCGGTGAACTAGTTTGTACACATGATGAACTGGTACAAAGGAACACGCGGTGAACTAGTTTGAACACATGATGAACTGGTACAAAGGAACACGCGGTGAACTAGTTTGAGCACATGATGAACTGGTACAAAGGAACACGCGGTGATCTAGTTTGAACACATGATGAACAGGTACAAAGGAACACGCGGTGAACTAGTTTGAACATATGATGAACTGGTACGAAGGAACACGCGGTGAACTAGTTTGAACACATGATGAAATGGTACAAAGGAACACACGGTAAACTAAAAGGGACACACGGCGAACTGGTAGGAACGTAAAATCAGACCTAACCTACCTCATGGAGAATTAACAGCTCTGAAAGAGTCTTCAGAGAAACCGGGTGATCACTATAAAACCTTGTGAAAGGGTGCAGGAATCATAATTCTGAAGTTGGAGAGTTATATAGAATCCTGTCTGAACGAACTTTCTAACCAACAACTGCAAGAGAATGGAACACTAAATCCGTACTATGTACAAGTTGAAGAGAAGGAAGTTGAAGAAACAAAGAAACAGATTAAGTCTGTTTTAGATACTGCAGCGGATACGAATTTAATCACAACTGAAGAACTTAAAGCTATGCTGACTGATGACAAGAATCCAGCAAAGTTTTATCAGCTGTTCAAAGTACATAAAACTCACATTCCAGGAGATACTCCACCAAGTATGCCTATTATCAGCGGCTCAGGAAGTTACACAGAGGATATAAGTTTATTTGCGGACAATTTTCTGAAACCCCTTTCTAACTTACACCATCTTATCTTCAGGATACCTCTCCTGTTCATATATCTAGCTTAAATACCCCTTCTGTTCATATATCTAGTTTGAATACCTCTCCTGTTCATATATCTAGTTTAAATACCTCTCCTGTTCATATCTATTGTTTTAATACCTCTCTTGTTTATACATAGTATAAATACTTTTTAACTGTGCTTGGCATATAACTGTGTTTTATAACTCTCTTGTTCATATCTCCAGATAAAATGCTCCCCCCCCCTCACCCCCGTTCATATCTCGTTCAAGTCTACTACTTCGCTCTCAATTCAAGCCTGCGCCACATTTCCCGGTGTTTTAGGGGGGATCCGGGGTTTAGTAGATCAGTAGATTATAATTTTAGAAAATATTTTAAATTCGACAAAATATAATTACGCTACAAGCTTGAAATAGTGAAATTAAAATTGGCAACTTTCAATATGCAGTGTACACAATGCAAATCTTAAGCCAGGAGAAAATGGAATAAACCAGTTTTTACAGTAAAACAAGTTGGATACGAAAAATCCTACAAATTTTTTAAAAACCTTTCCCGCGTTACACAATAAAAATGTACATCCAAAAAGTTCACTATGGAAAGCTTTTACTCGTTGTTTTCGCCTCGTCCTGCTGCTTTTATATCCTTTTCCATTACGCAAACCTAGGAACTAAAATCACAGGTCAGTAAAACGAACGATTCGTGTTCGTTTATTATTTCTTGAATGAACGTGCTCAAAGGGACTGCAGTAAGCTTAAATTAACGTGACTGCCATCCACTAGCTTGTTCGATTCACTTTGGTACCATTTTTTGATGAATTAGGTTTACTTACTTACTAAAAATGTGTTGAAAAATTGTGTTTAAGACATAAGTTTTGTTAAAAGTGATTTTTTTCTAGAGGAAGAAATAATAATAGAAGAACACCAACCTATCAGTTTATCAACAGAAACAGAAAAGGTAAATTCAAAAAGAATTTTAAAAAACTAATTGTAGACTTTGAAACAGGGTGTCACAATAAATCTATAAAATTTACGGAGATGCTAAATATTTCTATATGCTAACTTATGCTACGAACTTTTTATGCTTAAAATGAATTTTAATTTTGACTTCTCAATATTTCTGTCAACCCTGAATTGGTACGTACAATTTGGAATTCCCGAGACTAGAGCGTGGGAAAAAAATACAATATAGATGACGTCAGTGGACACCTTGCATAATATATACATCATATATTTAGGTGATATCTGTAATTGAACCAAATATTTTTGTAATTAGGTTTTTTTATAGATATGACAAATTTGCAGTTTTTATGCAGTTTGAAAATAAAGTTGTTTGAAAATATGTTTAAATTTTTTACGCATAGATAAAGATAGATTGCGCATAAGACGACATTTTTCATTTTGGGTGTACATGAGAGAAATTTAAGTTAGTTTAGTCCTTCTTCAAGTTCTCGTCAATATGATATATTGCTCAGTAAAATATTGTTGTTCAAATATTTCCATTCCCGGAACACATTACACTCTATTATGAAATCCATTAAAACACCAAACCACCCCCCTTATCATTGAAGTACACTTTGACCCCTAGAAGTATGAGTTTGCGGATTGTACAATTCTTGGTGATTTTGCGTACATAAGCTATCTATGTTTATTTATTTATCTATGGTTTTACGTGTACCCTGGACTAACATGGTAGATACTAGATGTGCGTTGATTTTCTTGAGTTTGAATTTTAATAGAGTTTTGGCATATAACTAATAGAGCTGATTTTTTATTGAAAACACATCCGCCGGAAACAAAAAAGTATAAAATAAAGCGGAAATTAATTGGTTTTTTACGTTAGCCAAATTGTAAAACTGTAAAATCTTGTAAAAAGATTAAATGTTTGAAACCTAAACAAAGCGACTAATAATCAATTTCATAATGAATAGTAAAACATTTTTTTAGATAAAAAATCTTTTTTTCAGATATTTTTCGGAAGTTTCGATTTCTTTTAATTTCAGTTGAGAAATGAAAAAGACACTGTTTCTTGGGCTGCTCTACATACTTGTCCTGTTTGTTTAGGTTTAGTAATAATAATTATCATAATAATTTAATAAAAATAATAATTTATTGAAAATAGTAATATAATTGAATAAAAGCAGTGATAATAATAATACCAGGTGGGGATCTATGCCCTGAGTTCCAGCAAGGATTTATCTCTGTAGGATTATTCCCTCGAGGTGAAGAGAAGGGAAACCTTCAATACTATTCTGCATCTTTAAAGGTTTGTTAACTTAGATTTAAAGGAAGTGATTGGCAATTTTTTGCATACACTCCCTTTAAAAGGGAGTGTATGCCAAAAATATAATACATATTATTATATTCGGTGTATTTGTTTTTAAGGGCCTGTCGAATTGATTTGAAATTACCAGCTCGGCTACCATAGATAAACTATGTTGACTCTGAACAATCTCCTGAATCAAAAGGCCTCCAATGACGGAGAAAAAAATGATGAAAATATCAATCGTTTCAATTTAAAAGTGAATTTATTAAATTGTGGATTCTTTACAGAGGTTAAAATCATAATAACAAATAGAAATACAATGTGTTTAGGGAGCTGATCCTCTAACTGTTTTGGTTCCTGGACAATGGAGTTGGGACACCTGGGATCAATGGATTTGTAAAAATAGGTAAAACTTTAATATAAAAAGTTCAAAAAAAATAGATCTTCTGTTTTTAAAAAAAACAATTTTTAAAATTTTTTTTAAATTCCCCAAATATCTAATGTCTGTACTGTGGTGATTCGCAGACTGCAGTAAAATAACCGAAGAAATTGTTATTTTCTGTGGAGAGTGCCCTGGCCCCTAACCTATACTAAATGCAGTCACCGGCTTTAAAAAACTGTTTAAATACCAATCTAGCCCAAAATGTTGGCTATCAATATATACATGGTTATGGTGTCTAATGATATCCCAGTAATTACAAGGGATGTGATGATTATAGAAATTACACTATTGGGGTTTTATCCTTTATATCCATTCTTTTCTTAATCAAAAATCAGGTTTAAGTGAATGTTGCCGAAATAGCAAGTTGCCCTCCATTTAAAGAGTTCCATGCTGCATGATTCACAACGTTGCTTTGACATTCATCTAAATGACAAAACTGAAATGACAAAGCTGAAATGACAAAACTGAAATGACAAAGCTGAAATGATAAAGCTGAAGTTACAAAGCTGAAATGACAAAGATTTTTGTGTTTTTAATCTGAAAACTTAGTGTGTGGTTTCTGTGTGGCTTGTAGTTGCAATAGATATATATCAACGTTCTAGACATATAAACAATGATTTCTCTCTCATAGTGTTTTAATTTGTATTTTTTTGGGGTGCTGTTTTGAATCTTACATGCAACCGGTTAAGATTCAAATTCAATCCTCTGGGTTAACTGACAAATATTATAATGATAAAGCAAACAACATTGAAAATGATATAATCAAAAAATGTGGTTGTCAAAATTTTTGAAAATATTAATCATCAATATTAAATTCTGTTCAAAAATTTGAATAGTTTATGTTAACATGAAGATTGGAATCACACCCTTATTTTTTAACAAACTATCTAAAAATATTGATTTGCACAAATAATTATTTAAAATTAAGGATGATTAAGTTGCCATTTTTAGCCACCAGGTGGTGCAAAAGTGGCGCCGTGGTGGCGGGTTTGGAAGTGGCGCCTTGTCATTCCTAATTATTGAAGAATATATATTTTTTATAACAGTTAAAATTACACTTGCATTTTTTTTAAAGAATGCAAATAAACAAAGGAATAATTTTAGATAATACAGAGCATGTTGATTTTGAATAATATGGAGAAATTCCTAGATTCAAAATTTCTTCTATATATAAATTTGCCTTGTCTGTTTGTTTGTTAGGATGTTTGTATCCAATAAACGTCAAAACGGCTGAACCGATCGGGTCCAAATTTTTTGTGGGACATCACGTGACCACTGGCAAGGTTTATGAATGATAATTTTTTTTTTAAATCCGATAAAATTTTTTCTTCTTTGTTTTTAAATGTTTAAAAAGAACATGTTCACAATTTAAATAGAAGATGGGCGCAAAAGCCTAGAAAGAAGGGCGCGAAGCGCCTTGAATTTCTAGTAATATTATATTTCTGAAATATACAGTGAAGAATATTGGATTTTTATTAATTATTTTGATTAAACTTTGAAAATTTAATCAAAATATTGTTGACCCAAGCAAATTAATAGTTTAATATAATTAATAATTAATGATTAAATAAAATTTATAAATCCTAAAATTTATACCCTATAGAAAACATAAACTTTTAACCAAATTGATTAATTTATTTTTTCTAATTTATCCATTGATTTCCATATAATTGCTTGATTATTCTATAAATTTATTTTTATTAAATGATCGATACAATATTATGGCTATTTTGTATTGATTGATTTTAAAAAGTATTCAGTATTTGATTTCAACCATTTTATTAATTGATTTAAACTATTTATTTAATTGATTTAAACTATTTCGTTAATTGATTTCAACTATTTGATTAATTTTTTTAAACTTTAATTGATGACCTGTTATAGCTTTATGCATTTATTGATTTTAAAAAGTATTTAATATTTGATTTATCCTATTGATTTGATTGATTAAAACTATTTTATTAATTGATTTTAACAATTTGATTAATTAATTTGTGTGCTGGATTGTCCCCCCCCCCCCTACGATCCTTTCTTTTTCTTTTCCTCTCTATTCTTCAATACCTTTCCTCTATCTACTACTTTTCCTTTTCCTTTAGTTCTAAATTGTTTTTGTTTTATTTTGTATTATTTAAATTGAACTTTTATGTATCGCTGCAGAAGGGCCTCTCATTCAAAACAACCATCATGGTTAGAGAGACCCTGACTAAATTAAAATGTAAAAATTGTGCAATTTAAATTGTTTTTTATTAAATATTTAGTCAAATATATATATATCTATCTATCTATCTATCTAATTTAAACTATTTAATGAACTGAATCTATTTAATTAATGAATTTAAACTATCTGATTAATGAATTATTTAGTTCCCAATGGTCTGGTTGTCTGGTTTCAGAGGCAGTTAAGCTCACTACTATTGCTAGGTATATACATATTATGTCATAGTAAAGAAGGGTATTATCTTAAAAAACCTGTAAAATCTTTTTCTTGGATATTTAAAAAGATAAAAGTTTCCCTGTATGATAATTGAAGGACTGTTGCTTGCATGATTTGGTAAATTATATTTGCTTACTAAGCCTGAGGGTGTCAGAAATAATTTTTTGCAAATTTTAAAACGTCCTATAAAACTTGTAAACTTAAATTTTTTATAAAACTTTTTTAAATCTAAAATCTTTTTAAAAAAATTTAATACTAGTTCCTCGACTCGCAGTTTACAAAAATTAAGCGCGAAACAAAAATAAAATTTGTTTGTAAAATTTTTGTAATAAATCGTTTAAAGATTTGAACTTGTGTGAAGTATTGTTAATCTTGAATGCTTGTGGATGCTTTTAGATTTGAGGATTTATTTGTGATCTCTCAAGTAAGTTATCCCTGCATGGTTTGACCACCACGGGATATCGAGACGAGTTAAATTAATTAGAGGGAGATCAATGTTTGATACTAAGATTAACAACACAAAAGTTTAGAACTCTGGTCAATAGATTATAACTGAGAACAATTTTCAAATACTAAAGTCATCTCAGAAACTTTTAATTTAATTTTTAAAAAAAACCTTTTGAATGTTTAAACAAGAACGAGAAATGGTTTCGGCGCGTTCAGCTTAGTTTCAATTCATTTATGCATTGCTCGTTTTGTTTGCTTTTTTCAGTCGTAAATAACAAGTTTACTTCTTTTGTTTCAGAATTATACGTTCATTTTCCATCTATTTCGTTTGTTTTTAAATAAACGATCGTTTTATCGAATCATTCTGTCATTGAACTAAAACTCTTGTTTTTTTTTCTAAAGTTCGTTCAATAAAATCATTCGTTCAGTAATTTTTTTTCAAGTTCGTTCGAGAATATAGTGCTTCAAGTAAAAAACGACTTAAAAATGGTTCATTTAGTAAAAAATGTAGTTTTTCATATGCATTCAAACGACTGAATTTTAAGTCGTTTGTTAACGGTCTGTCTAATTCTTAAAAACTTTAAAATCGTTGACGATTTAAAATTTGTGTTATGCCATATACGATCCAAAAAGTTCGTTCACCGTTCGTTAATTGTTCTAAATACCACCATTGCTTATGATAAATTTCGTTCGTTTGAAAAATATCGTACCTTAACAAAAACGATTTCCATCTGTACTTTAATCTTGATAATGGTTTCAGTTTCAGATATTGCATTTATTTTTACGATTAAATTAACACTTTCAGGCGTGAAGGAGATGCCAGGTTTCTAAAAGGACTAGGAGGAGAACAAGGGACGGTCAACTCACTAACTGCCTGCGCAAGTAAGCACTTGACCAGCGCGCTGCATCATACTTTTGATCTGAATAGGGATCAAAAACTTTCCATGGAGGTACAAACATAAAAGTTAACAAAAATGAAATTTTCATTTTTTTTTAAAAACAAAAATATATCCTCTACATCAAATCAAAACAAAATTCAATTGCAAATTATTAAATATTTTTAAGTTTTCAATATTATTTAAGGAAAAGGTAGTGATGTTAACTACTGTATCAGTTTCTCCTCCGCTGGCTTTATTAAAATTGTCTCCTAGTTTAGGGCTGAACAGTGTTCCCAGGTATAGAATATAAATGTCGTCTTTTTAAGCCCAAACTTTTTAATTAAGCCATTAAATTGAAATTTTAGAGAATATAATTATCTAAAATTGGCAATCTAAATTTGATTTTGTTTTGATAATTAATGATGATGAAAACATATAAAAAAGGTTAAAAATGTAATTATTGAAACATATGCAAAAAATAAAAAAAATAAGTTTTTTTAAACAATGAATTTATAAATAAATTATACAAACAAAAGAACTTGAATAAACAAAGAAAAGAACAAGAATAATTGTGTAACCTTACAATAAGGAATTTGTCAAATGAATAATGTCAAAACACGTAAAACTTAAAAAGACAAGAAAATAAAACTAGAAAACCGTACCTTACTTGTTTGAAGAGTATTGGATGACTGGAAAAGGATTGACTAGTTTATAGGCGTATGCGGGGGGGGGGGGAAGGGTGTTGAAGGCCGTGGCTGGGTAGAATTCGTCAACAAAACGGTCAAATACATGAAATTGATCAACACTATAAGATACTGAATTGGTAATACATAAACATATAGCTAAAGACAAACATAATTCATTAAAAAAAAAGTTCTAACCAGAAAACTCTGAAATGGGAATACTACTTTATAGCATGACTTACGTGTATTTAATGTTGCTTCAGAGCAAATAGTTTTACTAGACACTTTTCAATTCACTAATTAAGTTAAATGGGTCTGTTTACACTGCACAGTTCCTGTGTCCCTTGCTTATTGGACTATTTAAAGTCGTTACTGGAGTCTAAAAGCAGTCCTCCTATTCCAGAGTTTTCGAAAATTCGAGGATAATAGTATTATTTATTGTAATTAAAAAAGTATTATTATTATAAAGATTTATTCACACACAAAGAAATAAATACATATTCGAATGGTGTAATTTAAATTTGTTTAAATAGATTTTTGAAAATACAGGTTTCCAAAAGAAAAGAGAAAAATATGCAAAATTATGCACAAATAGACGACATTGATCATTACTCATTACATAAGATATTTATTTATCATTTCAGTTATTACGCAATCATCGAATCCTTCAACATATAAATTATTCGTTCTTGTATTTAGAAGTTCTTGTAAAACCGGAACTTTCCATGCATGTTCCAATGGGACATCAAAATATTTCATTTGTTTCTTAACTAACATTTTACTAAGATCCGAAGGATTTACAGAACAATCATTTGCAATAGAAAATAAATTTCTGCCAAGAACTGTGTTAAAGTAATTTTATTAATTGTAGTATTAAAGCAATTTCAAGTTTCATCCCGGATAAAAAGAGTACTTCCCAATTTACAGTGGTACCCTTTACACCCTTGTCTGAGCGTATTATTAATGAAAATATCTTTATTTTTGTAACTAAAAATGATAATTTCTTCGTGGGGGTTTCTCTAAAAAAAGTGATTTACGAAATTTACACAATTGCTACAGAATTTAACACTTTTAAGATGGGAAACGAAGATGTCTTTCCCATTGTTGCTCAGATTAAGGTTTAAAGGATGTATTGCAAGGAGTATCGAATAGAAGGGGAAGGGAGATTTGAATAAGAAATATTCAGAATAGGTTATTGTATACGCGGTAATTGTACATCAAAAAAATATTTTCAAATGAAGTACCGTCTGGTAGGGCGGGCCGCGTCAAATGAAGTACCGTCTGGTAGGGCGGGCCGCGTCAGTTGTATCTCCCTACTATTCCTTACTCCTTGATGTACTACTGTTAACTGACATGTACAATATTACATGAAGGGTCACTTTAATTTAGTACTTTTAAGATATATTGGAGCGTGTGGAAGAGTGATGGTTATTGAAGGGGGTATTTCTCCCCTTGCCGCCTTTACAGAGACAAGTTGGGCCTACAGGGCTGAACTTGCCTCACAGGTAAACATTGTTTAAATGTCGTCCTTAGTTTTCAATTATGTGCTTCGAAGAGGCTAAAACATTTCCTACAGTGGGACTCATACAATTGTGGAATAGAAGGCCTAATATTGGACTCAAATTACAATTTTTTATTTTCTTCTATTTATGTACAGTGAAACCCTTAACAACGAATACATCGAAAGAATTCATCAAATGTCGTATTCTTCACTTTCTGATATAATGGAATATTGCAGATATTTAGGTTTTTAATTAAATGATTATATGGAATTCTTTAAAACTGTTCCCGCATATTCATGGCTATTTATTTATTTTCGGAAATACTGAAATTTACGAAATATATTATAAAACTCATTGAAAAATTGTCAAGACGACATTTGATAAATTCTTCCGATGTATTCGTTATTAAGGGTTTCACTGTGCTTTACAGTAAACTGTACAGTTGGTTAGTATATAGTTGAGTTACTACTAATTACCTAATGTACAGCATACACAAGCCATATTTATATACTTATTATTACTGTACAGTTGGTTGGTTTAATTGAGTGACTTCTGACTGGGGACTGTACAGTGTACAGTGTATATAAACTATATTTCTGTACTGATTATTAAACTGTACAGTTTGTTAGTATAGTTGAAACTACTGACTGGGGACTGTACAGTGTACAGTGTATATAAACTATATTTCTTTACTGATTATTAAACTGTACAGTTTGGTAGTATAGTTGAAACTACTGACTGGGGACTGTACAGTGTACAGTGTATATAAACTATATTTTTGTACTGATTATTAAACTGTAGAGTTGGTTAGTATAGTTGAAACTACTGACTGGGGACTGTACAGTGTACAGTGTATATAAACCAAATGCATGTACTGATTACTAAACTGTACAGTTGGTTAGTATAGTTGAGAGACTGCTGACTGGGGACTGCACAGTGTACAGTGTACACAAACCATATGCATGTTCTGATTACTAAACTGTACAGTTGGTTAGTATAGTTGAGAGACTACTGACTGGGGACTGTACAGTGTACACACACCATATGCATGTACTGATTATTACTGTACAGTTGGTTAGTATAGTTGAGGGCCTACTGACTGGGGACTGGGTGCTGCTGGCCTGGAATCTAGATTGGGAAACATTCTCAGTATCAAGCTCAGGACAGGTAAATATTAGTTTTAATCTCCGGACAGGTAAATATTAGTTTTAATCTCAGGACAGGTAAATATTAGTTTTAATCTCAGGACAGGTAAATATTAGCTTTAATCTTAGGACAGATAAATATTAGTTTTAATCTTAGGACAGGTAAATATTAGTTTTAATCTCAAGACAGGTATAATGGATCCTCTACGCAGCATTTAACATTTATCTAAATTAATATTTTAAATGTGAACTGTCGTTAAAGGGACAGACCGGCTATGTAAGGTACTTAGACTGAGTATGCAGCGTTGCGGACAAGTTCTTTAGGATTCATTTGAGACATAATAAACTTTTCCACGATGTATGATTACTGATTTTAAGTGCATAGTCGACGTTCATAATCATGAATTTGGGTGGGTACGTTTTCAGAATCTTTTTTTTTAAATTATTAATAACGACGACAAAAAAAAGTAAGAATTATACAGTAAACTAATTAAATGGTTAGGAACATATTTCTCAAAAGAAATTTGTCAATAAATCAATGCTAGAATCAATTATTTCGTTTTCATCATTATATTGAATTTCGTATTTTCTATGAATTTATTCGTAGATATCTACAAATTCTTCGTATGTCGTCTTTTCAATAATAATTCCAGAAAATCTGCAAAACATCTTTGTGAATAATTACATATTATAGAAACTGATAATTAAACAAGATTACTTATTTTCGATGATAAGATTAATTTTTATTTTCTCAATCTGTTCCTAAACAACTAATTAGTTTACTGTAGAATTTTGTTTACATTTTTTGTCGTCGCTATTTAATAATTTAAAAAAAAATTCTGAAAACGTATCCACCCAAAAGTACAATTTTGAACGTCAACTTTGCGCTCTAACTCAGGATTTACAGATCTTTAAAAAGTTTTATATGTCTCAAATGTATCCTTAATAATTTGTATACTTAGTTCAATTTCCCTATATTGCCGGTCTGTCCCTTTAAAGGATTTCCAGTTTTCACGTACATGAACCCATTTAAATACTTCCATTCACAACGGTAAGTTGTTTATCTCTTTATCAAAGCAAAGCTCTGTAAAATATCACGTATTTTTTTCTGGAAAAGTGTTCAATTTTGACAATTTCATTTTTCTCTGATGCAAAAATCGGCGAGTATTTTTTTTTCCGAACCACGATTTGAAATTATCAATTGTCAAAAATTAAAAAAAGGATATTTTCATTATTTCTGAGATAAATGTTGAATTGGTTTAGTACTGCTGTAAATCTGGTATTTTGGCGTAAATCTCTTTATATAAAAGGACAATTGAAATTACGACGAAAGTTCCTGAGAAGTTTTAAAATAGAAATTGAATTCAAAATATTTTGTTAATGCTAGATTAAAAGACTATTCTTAGTCTTAAGTAGGGTCCGGAATTGCGTGCAATGATTACTTTCGCTTACGCCATTTCATTGCGCAGAATTGCAGTATAATTGGGAACAAGAAAGCAATAAAATATTCGCGAAATTGCTCGGAATTGCGTGCAACGGAATTGCTTTTACATCTAAAATTCAATAATTTTAATGTGACTTCTAAATTTATGCAAGAATGGAAATATCTCTGTTGACTTTAAAAATAACCGAGTCCCGAGGGTCACTTGTTTTTTTGGTTAAGCTTCTATAATTAACAATTTCATGATACATTCTTCATCTGTTCACATTGGATGCACATTAAAATTTTAACTTTTTTTTGTTAAAATTGTAAAGTTCGTAAATTAGATATTTTGCTACAGTGAGAACCAGAAAACTATGTACAGAAAGATAACTTTACAGTGTCTGAGTTTGAAAAATAAACTTACAAAATTATTTATTCAGTTAAATGGGTCTGCTTGAATCTAAAAGGTCGTCTTCCCATTTTAGAGTTTTCTGGTTATCATGCTGCATTTGATTTGAATATTATAAAACAAAAGATTAAGTTTTTTATGTTCCTAGCTTTTGAGAATTCATTTGTTTTTGTTGTTGAACGGAATTGTGCAATAATTAATTGAATTTACTGCGTGCCATGTTTTTGACTTATAAAATTTTAAAAATTCATTAACGTTAAAAACGAATTTCACAAAGATCCAGTTTAGGCAAAGGAATTGAGTTTTTTTGCTTTTGGATCTAACAGCTGCCATCGTTTAAGATATCAAAGGTCTGCAACATTGGGTTGCAAAGATATAAAGATAAGAAATTTGAGTTTGTAGCAAAAACTTAATTCCTTTTATGATCTCCATATATTTGCAGCCTAATTGTGTAAACCTTCGATTTATATTATTTGATCCAACTGAATGCATAGTTTGAAATATCAAAGGTCTCTGCGACAATCGGTTGCAAAGATTTAGGGATTAGAAAATCATAGTTTGTGGCAAAGACTCAATTTATAATCCTGGCCTAAAAGAAAAAAGAAAATATATAAAGTTAAAATTTAGAAATGTTTAATCTTTAATCAGGCTTTTTCTAAAGGTTGTGTTCTCTGATCTTGATTCTATAACTCCGGTACATAAAACCATCATAGCCAAGTAAGTTTAGATTTTGTGTATATCAGTGTTTTCTAATAAACACAATGTGTCTAATTAAACGAGGGAGGAGAGGGGGGGAGGGGCATGCGGCCATGAACCTTTAAAAAGAAAATATGTTTAATTAAACGGGGAGGATGGGGGGGAGGGGCATGCGGCCATGAACCTTTAAAAAGAAAATATGTTTAATTAAACGGGGAGGATGGGGGGGAGGGGCATGCGGCCATGAACCTTTAAAAAGAAAATATGTTTAATTAAACGGGGAGGATGGGGGGGAGGGGCATGCGGCCATGAACCTTTAAAAAGAAAATATGTTTAATTAAACGGGGAGGATGGGGGGGAGGGGCATGTGGCCATGAGCCTTTAAAAATAAAATATGTCTTATTAAACTATGGAGGATGGGGGGGGGGGGCATGCGGCAATGAGCCTTTAACAAGAAAATATTTCCAATATAAAATATTATTGACTTTAAGATAGTTTAATCAATGCTTTAAAACTTGTTCTCAGTGTAGAACTTTGTCTTCCTGGATTCAACAAATAAGATAAGAATGTTTGCAGTGATGATGAATAAATGATAATTAAAATCTTGCATAAAAATAAATGTTTATTTAAACTAATTAGTTATCATTCATACCAAACAGTTTTCATCAAAAATGTGTAAAAATATGATATCATAATATTTCTGAAAATTTTACACTGAAAAATTTAATGACAAAATACTTTTTCGAAAAGTTCGCCCAGATTGCGCAGACAAGCACTGAGAGATTAAGTTTGTTATTTTTTGTTATTTGCGCGTTTTTTACTCCATCCCAGATAAGTTTCATAATTTAATATTTACAATTTTTCTCTGTTAATCGAGTTCTATGACTATAAGTCTAGACATAAATTTTCGATGCTTTTGTTCATGCTATCGATTAAAAACTGTTTGTTTTTTTTAAATTATGTTATCAATAAAATGTTGAAGATGAAAAAGTTTGCTGATGAGGAGAGGAAGGCCAACCACAACAATTTCTTGTCCGTGCCACATTTTCCTCATTTTATCGTCCGAGCCACCTAGAAACCCTCGTCCTTCCAATATTATTTTTATTAAAGTGTCAAAAACTTGAAGATAAAAATAGTTTTTTTTAATCTGGCCGGCCACGTTAGAGCACAGCTGAGATATTGAATTTTTGTAAGAAAGTGTGACAGTCATTTAATTGCAAAAATGGTTAAAATACAGTAAGATTTTCTAACTACATTACAAAAAAGTACAGTTTTAACCAGAAAACTCTGAAATAGGAAGACGACTTTACAGCAATAATTTAGTGTATTTGATGTTGTTACAAAGCAAATTGTTTAACTAGACACTTATTAAATTACCAATAAAAGGGTCTGTTTACACTGCACAATTGCTGTGTCCCAGAGTTTTCTGGTTAACACTTGGTTAAACCAGCTGCACCAAGCTAAATTAATTTTTTATAATTCATAAATTTCCATCCTTGTTATATTCAGACCTGAAGATGAAATCCGTCCTGTGTGTAATGAAAACTGTTTTCAAGATTTTAAGAAAACAGTTCTTACCTCTACACCAAGGGGTCAGCTTAGTCAGGGTTGCAGGTAAATAAACAACATTGATAAAAACCGCTTTTGCCCTTGCCTATTAGTCTCCGATGTTTGCAGTGTCTGAAATAGAGGGGGGGGGGGGTGATTGATCAAAAAGAGAGAGAACTGAAAAATTGGACATTAAAAGGCCATTTTTTAAAATCATTTAAGTAAATTTTACTCATTTTTTTTTATTTCCCCCCATAAAATACAGACAACCCTAATTTGTTTGGGTGGAAAACTTTATTTAAGGGGGAAGACATGATTCAAGAAACTACACACCCTGATGTCTGTGCCCCCCATCAGCCTTGTGTTTTTTGGCTATAACTGTACTATATTTCTTAATAATGTTTATTTTATAGTTCTGGTTTACTGTATGTCAGGATGATGTTTACAATATTATAGATCTGGTTTACTGTATGTCAGGTTGCTGTTTATATTATCATAGTTCTGGTTTACTGTACGTGTGGATAATGTCTATACTATTATAGTTCTGGTTTACTGTATGTGTGGATAATGTCTATACTATTATAGTTCTGGTTTACTGAATGTCAGGATAATGTCTATACTATTATAGTTCTGGTTTACTGTATGTCAGGATAATGTTTATATTATTATAGTTCTGGTTTAATGTATGTCAGGATAATGTCTATACTATTATAGTTCTGGTTTACTGAATGTGTGAATAATGTCTATATTATTATAATTCTGGTTTACGTATGTCAAGATAATTTCTATATTATTATAGTTCTGGTTTAATGTATGTAAGGATAATGTCTATACTATTATAGTTCTGGTTTACTGTATGTCAGGATAATGGTTATACTATTATAGTTCTGGTTTGCTGTATGTGTAAATAATGTCTATATTATTATAGTTCTGGTTTACTGTATGTCAGGATAATGTCTATATTATTATAGTTCTGGTTTAATGTATGTCAGGATAATGTCTACACTATTATAGTTCTGGTTTACTGTATGTGTGAATAATGTCTATATTATTATAATTCTGATTTACGTATGTCAAGATAATGTCTATATTATTATAGTTCTGGTTTAATGTATGTCAGGATAATGTCTATATTATTATAGTTCTGGTTTAATGTATGTCAGGATAATGTATGTACTATTATAGTTCTGGTTTACTGTATGTGTAAATAATGTCTATATTATTATAGTTCTGGTTTACTGTATGTCAGGATAATGTCTATATTATTATAGTTCTGGTTTAATGTATGTGTGGATAATGTATATATTATTATAGTTCTGGTTTACTGTATGTCAGGATAATGTTTATATTATTATATTTCTGGTTTACTGTATGTATGGATAATGTCTATATTATTATAGTTCTGGTTTACTGTATGTCAGGATAATGTTTATATTGTTATATTTCTGGTTTACTGGATGTGTGGATAATGTCTATATTATTATAGTTCTGGTTTACTGTATTTCTGGATAATGTCTATATTATTATAGTTCTTGTTTACTGTATGTGTGGATAATGTCTATATTATTATAGTTCTGGTTTACTATGTGTGGATAATGTCTAGATTATTATAGTTCTGGTTTACTGTATGGAGATTTCATGTTCTACCAGCTCTGCAGGAACTTTCATATTTTCTATTTAATCTAGATCAAAACATATTCTGACGTAGATCAGGGTTAAAAATAGAATTATTTAAAAACATTCATTATTGGAAAACTACTTTCGGAATAGATTTTAAATACATACCGTAAAGAAACTAGCTGGCAACAAAATTTTAGTTACTGCCCATTAAAAGAGGGACATGCCGATTCACAGTGATACACTATTTTCTCCAATGTTTCTGTTGCAAGATATCCGAAAGCCTCTTGTAGAGTAATCACAATTAAAGATATTAGATAATATATTTCCCAAGAGAAAAATCATGGATTTACTTTTTCATTTTGATCAGGGTACTGTTGTGAATAGGAATTTCCCCTCTTTAGAAAAGGGTAACTTAAAATTACGTTTACAGTTCCATTAAACCTGCCTTTCAAAATATTTGTCCTTTTTCTTTTAAGCTTTTACCTCTTTTTTGTAGAAACGTACTCGTATACAGCAAAGGATGGTAATAAATTCACAACATTCAATTCAAATAAATATTCTAAAATTTTGACTCGACAATGTTGATGTGCCGAAAAAGGATTAAGAGTTTTTGCCACAAGCTCAAATTTTCTAATCCCTCTATCTTTGCAACTTGACAGTTACTAGACTTGACATTTTATATTTCAAAGTCTGACTATTTAATTGAAGTTTGAAGTTGGAAGATAAAGGGCTTAGAAAATCAAAGTTTGTGGCAGAAACTCAATTCCTTTGAAATGCACGATTAAAATTTAAAAAATCCACGAAATCTTTTCAGTGTTAGTTTTACTAATATGCACAATGGTCGCCGTTTAAAAAACATTCAAGAGCGAAATATTGTGAGAGAATGGAAACCTTGTAATCTACATTTAAAATTTTTTTTAAATGTATAAAATACAGTCTTTGAAATATCATTCTTAGTAGTTTAATTTGTATTTTAAATATTTTCCTAATTCGAAATTAAATTCTAGAATTTGAAATTGGTTGAAAATATGAAATTTTTGCTCGGGTAGAAATATTTTCTCCCCTTCGGAGGTTCGAGGCGGTCTCCTGGAAGGGGGAGGGGTAGACCTGCAGGGGTTGGTTGAGGAATGTGTAGAAGAGAAGGGGAGGGGGGATAGATGGAGAATAATAGAAGAAATAAAGCAGAAACTTCTTCTAGTAGACACAGGTAAACAAGGAAAAAAATTCAATAATTTCAAAAAAGTTTGGAAAAGTCAAAATTAGAAATTAGAAAATTAGAAATATAGAAATGCAAATTCTCAATAATATCCTTTAAGTATCTTGAAATGGACGGTGCAGTTTGAAACAGATTGAAAGTTATTTCTTTGACATTTTATTTTAAAATATATACAGTGAGAACCAAAAACTCTGGAAGGAAGGCGACTTTTAGATTCAAGTTATGACTTTGAATAGTCCAATGCACATTAGACACAGCCAAAGTGCAATATTATTTTGTAATAACATTGAAGAACTCAAGAATAACTTTAATGTCGTCTTCCTATTCCACGGGTTTCTGGTTTTCATTCTATCATATTCAAAAATAATGAAAAAAAATATAAGTTTCAATATTTTAAACAAAAAACAAGGGAAATAAATATATTTTTCTAAAAATGGTGATCTTAATCCCTTTGAATCATGGAAAGCAATCTCCTTATGCAGGGTCGGGTGGAGAAGATGAAACTACGGATGATAGCTACGATGATATCACAAAAACTCCTGAACCTGAGAAAGTAAGGTGGGAGGACAATGATGATCATACTTCTTCGGAGCTAGGTGATGATCAAGAAGAAGAAAACGAAGAAGATAAAGAAGACGGAGGAGAAAAAGAGGATGAAGAGGATGGAGAAGATGATGAGGATGAAGATACTGAAAACAAGGAAGATAATGAAGATTATGATAAGGATGTTGAAGAAGAAGAGGAAGATGGTAGAGAAGTTAAATAAATTGTCAGATTGGAATTATAATATTATACAGGGTTATCCACACTGGAGGATTCTTTAATGACGACCTTTAACTCCTAGAAATTATTAAAATGGTATCGAAAAAAATATTAACATCTTAATCTCATTCGTTGTGGATAGCTTTTTAAAAATTTTCTTATACCTGCTTTCGTTAAAAATTTTCTTTGGAAACTTATAAATAATATTTATTTATTTATGTATACACTATATAGTGTATACACGATAAGAAATCTTTTACTGCTCATGAATAAATTATGTTACATACAAATAAAGTTAATAATTATGTAGATGAATGGAGATACAGATTGAGCAATGCATATTATACAGGGTATTCCACTGAACATGGGAATTGAGTTAAGATTTCGCGAGATCGTCTTTATAAGTTATTTTTTTTATTAAATGTATGAAGTGATACCTACTGAGAAAGCTTTAATTTGTATTCTAGATAAATCAAAGTGATACCTACTGAGAAAGCTTTACTTTGTATTCTAGACAAAATGTTCAACATAAACGTTTCTGTAATCTGTAGATTCTTGATCAGTCCAAAGTACCTTTGTGACTCGGGGACGCTTCTTTTTAAATGAAAGGATTCTTAAAATTGCGCTTACCGCGCGCCTTCAACTCGATATATGCATGATAAAAAGTGGGTTGGGTAGAGTGGAAGGTGTGTGGAAAATTGCGCTTTCCGCGCCTTCAACTCGATATCTGCATGATAAAAGGTGGGTTGGGTAGAGTGGAAGGTGTGAGGAAAACTGCGCTTACCGCGCGCCTTCAACTCGATATCTGCATGATAACAGGTGGGTTGGGTTGAGTGGAAGATGTGTGGAAAATTGCGCTTTCCGCGCCTTCAACTCGATATCTGCATGATAAAAGGTGGGTTGGTTAGAGTGGAAGGTGTGTGTACTGTGTAAAAGGATAAGCTGTGGAGTGGGTTTAGAGGAGATGAAACAAATATAGAAGATATAATTAGGATTAATGACGTAAATACAGAAATTTCGGAAAGATTAAAAGATATGTTAGAGGAACTATTACACATTTTTAAACCTAGCTCCAATTCTTGAAGAGCTATTGAAATGATCAAAAATGCTTTGCAAATCAAGTATGCAGCCCAAATAAACTTTCTTCCATCATTATTCATCCAATTCTGTCCTGTGGACGGGAAAGGAGAAATCAAGTATGCAGCCCAAATAAACTTTCTTCCATCATTATTCATCCAATTCTGTTCTGTGGACCGTAAAGGAGAAATTAGATAATACTGAATAACTTAAGAAAAAGCAAGAAATAAAAATTAAAAATCTATTAAAAGAAAAAAATTGATAATATTATCAAAAATTAATAAAATGATATGAAAAGGAAAGGTAAAAAGAACATGGGGAGAAAATATTACATATCACTTATATCATTTAACAATTTAATATTTCAATGTTGGTCTGCAAGTCACCATTTTAAATCGTTCTCAAACCAAATTTATGAATAGAAGCAAACAAACCAAACATTTGAATAGATACAGACAAACCAAATATATGAATAAAAACAAACAAACCAAATATATAAATAGAAACAAACAAACCAAATATATGAATAGAAACAAACAAACCAAATATATGAATAGAAGCAAACAAACCAAATATATGAATAGAAGCAAACAAACCAAATATATAAATAGAAACAAACAAACCAAATATATAAATAGAAACAAACAAACCAAATATATGAATAGAAACAAACAAACCAAATATATGAATAGAAACAAACAAACCAAATATATAAATAGAAACAAAAACAAACCAAATATATGAATAGAAACAAACAAACCAAATATATGAATAGGAACAAACAAATAAAATATATGAATAGAAACCAAAAAACAAAAAATATTAATATAAACAACCAAACCAAATATATGAATAGGAACAAACAAATAAAAGATGCAAAATTATGAGCACAGTATGAAACGAAATAGGAGGAAAAAGAAAATGACAAATTGGAATCAAGGAATATAATAAAAAGAATGGTGAAAGTAAGATAAGTCGAAGAGATAATAATTTAATCTATATAATTAAGTTATTCACTCAATATATATTATATATATATCTTTCAGCTGGCTGGACCGAATGTGCTGAAATTTTTTGAGGCAAACCAATTTTTTCCAAAAATCAATATTTTTTTCTAAATTAGTTTGTTTTAATTCGTTTTTTACGGGAAACGCCCGGCACTATCACGGTGGACTAAGCCAGTGGATACCAGGCACGATATGAGACCATTGGAGTTAAAAACGAGTTTTATCATTTGCATAGGATGCATAGATGCATAGATGCATAGACTTGTATAAGAAATATATACAAGTTTATATACGGCTGCATAGGATGCGTAGATGCATAGATGCATAGACTTGTATAAGAAAATATATACAAGTTTATATACGGCTGCATAGGATGCATAGGATGCATAGATGCATAGACTTGTATAAGAAATATATACAAGTTTATATACGGCTGCATAGGATGCATAGAAT